GGTCAGATGCTTTACACTCATGATCTAAATCGGGGGTTGGCAAATGACGACCTGGCCCACTGTCTGCTTTTGTATGGTTTGTGGGCTAAGCATGATTTTTACCTATTATTCTTCTTTTGATTTAAAAAAACAAAAATTTAAATAAATTAAATTTAAAAATTTGACTTAAAAAATCAAAAGAAGAAGAATATTTCATGCACATGAAAATTACATTGAACTCAAATTTCAGAGTCCACGAGTAGTCACTGGAACCTAGCCACTCCCATTTGCTTAACCTGGCAGCTTTTGCACTACAGTGGCCAAGTTGCCTCCCAGCAGAGTTGAATAGTTGCATTGGAGAACCTATGGCTCACGTAGCCTAAAATATTTGCTATCTGGCCCTAAGCAGAAAAAGCTTGCCAACCACTTACCAAGATTTGTCCCCTCAATAACTCCACAAAAGAAGGCTTTGGTTCAAACCGTGAGTAAGTGGTAGAGGCAAGATTTGAACCCAGTTCTTTCTAGGTTCACAACATGTGGCCTTCAGCCACTACAGCCCACAAGCTTGGCGGCACATGCCTGGATACCTTGGGGTGGAGTGCATAGGTCATAGCCTGTGAAATGAATGCTAGGAAGGAATTCAGGCAGTGGGATTCAATCTCTTCCAGATTACTCTACTGTTACCCTAGAGACGTGACTTCCAGCCTGCCTGCACCACTGATCCTCAGCGTGACCTTGGGCAGTCAGTTCCTGGTGCAGTGGGTGGTATAAGCATGGATTTAGGAATCAGAATACCCTAGATTTCAATCCCAGTTCTGCCACTGACGAGCTATGTCGCCTCTTCAAGCCCCTGTTTCCGTTCCTGTGAACCGCAAACAATGGGACTTTCCTTATAATGATTTTGACGGGTTGAATAAAAATCCCCATGCTATCTACTCTTGCCCCACTTTTTCTCTCTAGGCCACTATTTTTCCATTTGAAAAATGATGAGACCTTTCCGCTCTGACACTCTAGGATCGTGATATTCTCCACGTCTTATTTTAGCTCAGTGTCTGGCTCCACACGCTGTGATTCAAGTTTGCACGGAGGTTGCACCCTGCCTTCCCTGGGAAAGGTCTCTTCAGGTTAGGTTGAAGGCATGGGGGAGGTTAAACACAGAGGAGGCCGGGTGAGGAGCAGAGACTGGAGGAGGGGATCCTGGATCAGGCACTTTGGATCTCAGTTGCTTAGTTGGAGAATCTCTTTTCAACTATTTGCACAGCCACTGAAAAGAGGGAGCTGAGTGCTGGCCCCAGGGGACAGAATGGAGACAGGACATGCAGTGGGGTTTGTTCATAAACCATCAACTGAATTACAAGGATCTGATTTGAGTTTAACTAAATTATGTTGAATTCATTTGAATTGAACTGAAGAATTGAGTCAGAATGAATTGGGGTTAGCTGGGTTGGATGGATGGAGTTAAATGTACTCGAGCTGAGTTGATTTGGACTGATTTTAGCTGAATTGGACTGAATTGGATTGAACTCAGCTGAAATCTGGAGGAGATTAACACTCAAGAAAAAGGTTTTAGGCCAGGCATGGTGGCTCATGCCTGTAATTCCAGCACTTTGGGAGGCTAAGGCAGGAGGATCACTTGAGGCCTGGAGTTCAAGACCAGCCTGACCAACATGGCAAAACCC